AAGCCAGCCCAGGCAGGGAAAGTCTGTGAGACTTTTATTTCCAGTAAACCACTCAGAAAACCAGAAGTGGCTCAAGTGGTAAAGTACTAGCCTTGAGCTAAAAAGCTAATGGACATCACCTAGGCCCAGAGTTCAAGCTCCATGACAGACCAAAAAAGAAAAATTATTGGCCACAAAAAGATGTTTCCAAAATATTTCCAGTCTCTCTATACAATATATTATAGACAGGGCCCTGACAGTGATTTTTAGGCTACTGTGCATTTCAGGCCATTTACAAATAACAGGCACAACCTAACTTTTTAGCTAACAGACTGCACTACAACTGAATAGCAGATGATTTAGAATGAGTAACAGGTCAATTATATGGAATTATAATTGTTTCTGTGCATTGGGATTTTATGTTAAACACGAGAATGTGAGGGTGAGCAGCCACATTTGATTTTAATTGCTACAGCCTGGGTAATCCAAAACATCCTGAGAACACTGGAGGAAATGAGAAAATGACAAGAGGCATGGGAGATGGAAATCAGGTTGCTGAGGGAACTCTGGTAACAGATGTGGCTCTATCAGTGGGATTGGCTCAAATTTATAATTTACAGCAAAGGAGCAGCAGCTCAGAAAGAGTCTTCTCCAGGCTTAGAAAAAACTCCCCTTACTTTTTCTAGGTACTGAGAAAAAAAGGAAAAAGGCCTAAATGCAGAGTATTTTTCAGAAGAGTAAAATTGGTAGATTTTTTTTTTTAGTTCCTTCAGTATTTGTTACAAATGAAAAGGAAATATTCCCATAGTACATCACAAGTAAAATGAATTAAAAATTTGTTCAAAACAAACAATAAAATAATGAAAGCTGGTGAACAAAACAAAAGCAAGAAAATCTGTAAGCCATCAGGTAAGAAATCTGATAGAAATCGCAGTAATAGACATATAAGGTCTTTCCAGCAAGCAGTCAGTGGAAAGAAGAAGATGAATCAGACACTTGAGTCCTTCCATTGCTCTCCATGGAAATCATGAGCCCTTCCTGGAAAGTATTCAGGCAGTAATAATAGTAATAAAAGCACCTCTGTGGGGCTTTATGGGCCATAAAAATCAACTCCATTTTCTAAGCACTTACTGAACATTTTATAGAAATTATTTCTTTCAATCTTCCATACAGCTCTGTGAAATTCAACCTATTTAGAAAGAGGTTGAACCTTAAACAGGTTAAAGAATATGTGCAATGTGGCACAAGAGCCATAGATTCAAACCCAGCTTGTCTGTTTACAGGGCTAAATGATCAACCACTACATTAGATTGCCCAAATAAGACACATGCATGTCAGGGCTGGGAAGTTGGCTCAGTGGTAGAGTGCTTGCCTTGCATGCATGAGGCCCAGGGTTCGATTCCTCAGCACCACACAGGCAGAAACAAGCCAGAAGTGGTTCTGTGGCTTAAGTGGTAGGGCACTAGCCCTGAGCTGAAGAGCTGAGGGACAGCGCCCAGGCAGAGTTCAGGCACCAGGATGGACCAAAAAAAAAAAAAAAAGATACATGCATGTCAAAGTAATTGTAATAAATGGATGGCATAATATTGTTTACACAAAGAATTTTTGAAATACCATTCCACTTTGTAAATCAACTGGTCAGTACTCCCTATACACATGTGTGTATAAATAAAACACATTCATCCTTACTACATGTACTGTATTGTACCTCCTTGTTTGAAATGCTATAATTCAGGTCAGTCACTGGTGGCTCACCCCTGTAATCCTAGCTACTCAGGAGACTGCGATCTGAGGACTGTGGTTTGAAGCCAGCACAAGCAGAAAGGTCCTTGAGATTATCTCCATTTAACTACCAAAAAAAAAAGCACAAAGTGGAGCTGTTGCTGAAGTAGTAGAGTACAATAAAGCTCAAGGACATTTCAAGCCCCAGGACAAGAGTGCATGTGTACACACAAATGCAGGTGCACACACACACACACACACACACACACACACACAGCTTAATTCATGTCATAACCCACAAACAAGTGGAGTCTTGCAATTTTCAAAAGGCCTGCTCTGAACAGTTGTATGGACATTTTGAAATACAAAGGGAAGGATATGTGTGAACCACACACATGCATCCTGAGAGATGATTAAATAAGACATAAATATAGGCATCCTGACAGATGATTAAATAAGACATAAATATAGGCAATCACTATGTTAAGCCTGGCATAAATGGATATTTGTCAAATATTAGTCTTTACAATGCTTCCTGCAGCATCAGTATACTCCAAAGTTTAAAGAAATGAAGGTACTCTATTATCATAATTCATAATCAATGATTGAGCTGCCTTCCAAGGTTAACAAACTTAACATTTCAATTCAAAACAGTCAAGCCTGGGCTGGGAAGGTGGCTCAGTGGTAGAGCGCTTGCCTTGCATGCCTAAGACCCTGGGTTCGATTCCTCAGCACCACATAAGCAAAAAGAAAACAAAAAGCCGGAAGTGGCGCTGTGGCTCAAGTGGTAGAGTGCTAGCCTTGAGCTGAAGAGCTGAGGGACAGCACCCAGGCCCAGAGTTAAGGCCCCACGACTGGACCCCCAAAAAAAAAATCAAGCCAGGCACTGGTGGCTCATGCCACCATTAGCTAGGATTCTAGTTACTCATGAGGCTGAGATCTGAGGATGGAGGCTCAAAGCCAGCCCAGGCAAGAAAGTCCATGAGACTCTTATCTCCAGTTAACCACCAGAAAAACAGAAGTGGTGCACAAAGTGGTAGAGCACTAGCCTTGAGTTGAAGAGCTGAAGGACAGCACTCAGGCCCCAGAGTTCAAGCCCCACAACTGATCAAAAAAATAAATAAACTTTATTTGAAATTTAACTTCACATATGTTATTTTTTGTTTTGTCAGTCATAGATCTTGAACTCAGGGTTTGGGTGCTGTCCCTGAGCTCTTTCCCTCAAGCCAGTGTTCTACCACTTGAGCCACAATACCACTTCTGGTTTTCTGGTGTTTATTTGAAGATAAGAGTCTAACTGACTTTCTTACTCGTGTAAGAGGTGTTAGCCACTGGTGCCTGGCAAAGTTATTCTCACACCTTAAAAAGAAAGATTACCCTCAAAGAAGAAATCTAAAATGAAACTTTTTTTTCCAATTACAAGATTCTACCTGATACAATTTTCTGGATTATAGTATTTTCTGACTCTACCTCTAGTCTAAATGGATAGATGTAACCAATATTTTGAGGTATACTAGAAAAAATATTTGTAACAAGAATTGACAGTACTTAAAAACAAGAATTGGCACTCATCAATTAAAATGTGAAACTAAATAATAAAATCTACATTCAAATTTAAAATACAAGTTCCTACTTAAGAAAAAAGAAAGGTAAGTAGAATATGAACTCAAGTACATTTTTTTTAATCTATAAAGCAGATGTGTGGTTTTTTGCAGTTTTAGGATAAACTGAAAAAAAAAAGTAATTGTCTATTAGCTCTTTCAAGCTTTTATACAAAATCTGCTTATAGTAGCTTCAACCATGTTATCTACAGCAATGTAATTATTTTCATACTGGAAATAAACTTGCACTTGGTGCTCTGTAAACAATTCCTGGGTATATCTAGAATATGAGTTTCTGGCTGGACAAAAGTACTTATAGGATATCTAATTTATCTTCTCATATTCAAAAAAAAAAGGAAACTGGTATATTAAGTTCAAGCCTTCCCAACTCATACAACCAATTAATAACCAAGAGAGGTCTAGAACCATTTTCCTCTTATTTCCACAGATACGGGTCAACTCTGAGAATCAGATCTGATTTACTTTCTGGGAAGGAATAGGCCTTTAGAAATTTACCAGCCATGTGGTCATTGGCTAGATTTCCAAGCTCCCTTTTCCTCTTCTGCAAGTATAAATACCAATTCTAACAATTTTGTGAAGATTATATCTGGCTTAACTGCCATTGATTAGGAAATAACAAGCATTTGAAAGCTGGTAGCACTTTTTTTTACTCTAATCCTGGAAACATGGCTGTTCTTCCTGTTTGGGAAGAGAAAGAAACTGATTTCATTAACCTAATGAACAGGGTCCCATCCACTGGAACTTCTCTGGTCCACTACATTACACAAACAGATACCACCACCCAATGCCCTTTCATTCTATCCAAAATTCATCTCTTAATATGTGAAAAAATATTGAACTGCTGCTAAATGACTGCACCCACGTGTTGTATGTTTAATTTGTCATCCAGAATTTGCAGGGGAAGGGGGAACTGGCTCTACCCAAAATATGGAGAATAAATACAGGGCAAGATAGGTCACACAGCTGAACCAGAACTCAGGAGCTTGTTCTCAGCATGTTTAGGCATGAGTAGTAGAAAGCAAAATGCTTGCTTTCAGCATCATGAGGCAGGAATAATGGTCACCTCAACAAAATACAGTTCCTTGGGCTTCTCAATACACACAAAAAAAAAAAAAAGAAAAGAGAAGAAAATTTCCTTTCCCTTGTAAATATGCACATAGGTAACAATTGAGCATCTTCTTGTAAATTTATATATTAGGCTGTATCCGAGCGTCACTGAACCCTAAGATCATATAAATATATGGGAGAAAACAAAACTATGAAATGCCGACGGGGAAAAAAACAAAAACAACCATGGAGAATATCACCTTGAAATCACCAGAAGGAAACCATAATGTCATGCCAAAGTCGTCTCCACTGATTAAAATCTTGACTCTTCATTCTCATGACACTGCAGACCCACCTCCCTCTAAGGAAATCAAGAAGAATCACTGCCGCGACCAACCTCAGCAATCAGCAGCGACCCAGTCGAACCTTGGATCTAAAAACACCGTGGGTCAAAGCCCCTCCCTGGAGCAGCCAAGTCCGGCGCTGACTCCAGACTACCTCACTTCCTTTCGGTCCTCCCTCCCGTGCTCGATCCTAGGCATTTCTCGCCAAGCCTTGTCAGTGACAGAAAAACTAGGAATAAGACAGACTTTGTTCGCGTTGTCTGAGGAATACCAGAGCCACACATACCCGTCCCCATTACGATCACATCAAACTCCGAAGGGAGATTATCCGCCATCTTGACAGGAAGCGTGTCATGTGACTATTGCCTGTTTGTATTTAAGCAATCCCCGAATTGAAGACGGAAAGAAAAGCAGTGCGTTGTGGGTATTGTAGTTCTCAGGTGGAAGGTTCAGGTAGACACGATCGCATTGCATTTCCAATGTTTACAGAAATGCAGAACCTACTCTTTTTCCTGGCTGAGTGCAGTACTTCAGTTTAGTCTAAAAATGTACGTACTTTTTACATGTCTGGCTGAGATGAATTTGGAAAGATTTAGGTACCCCTTAACAACGATGAAACAACAACTGTTAGGATATATGTTATGGGTGAGGAAATTGAAAGGGGCTTGCTCTGGGAACAAAGGTTCCAGCCTACAAAGCTCTTTACCCTAGAGGGTCTCATTTTGGCCTCCAAGCCATGAATAGGCACAGCCTTGTTTTCAAATTATGTTCCTTCTCCTTTTCATCTTTTATCTTCCCCCTAGAAAAATTCTATTCTGGTACCCCCAGAATAGAATTCTTGCAGTGCTCATACTTGTAGTTAATTTAAACAGCCACTCTAACAATACATTTTTGCAAAATTAACATCGCCTTACAAGGGGGGGGGGGGGAAATGAGCATTTAAAAGAATAATAGATGGTTTGGCAAATATGGTAGTGTATATCTATAATCCCAGCATTCAGAAGGCAGAAACACAAGGACCATTAGTTCGTAGCCACTCTGGGCTAAAGAGCACGCCTTTGTTCCAAAGAATAATTATAATAAAAATTTTAGGGTTTGGAGACATGGCTCAGTTGGCAGAGCACCAGAAAATGAGCAAAAGTGTCAGGTACAGAATTCCAAGCCGCAGTCTTGGACAAAGAAAAAAATTTAATAGATGCTGAATAATTATTTATTGAAAGTCAGAATCTGATTTTCTGCCCAAATCAAACAAGTCCATATGTGATTCTCCTAATAAGCAATTGCTGAAATGACTAGAGTGTCCTTTATATCAAAGTGATTGTATTTGAAGAAAGAATTTCAAACTGTCTTTGCCAAGTTGCTAACATAGTTCTCATGTAAATTTTTAAAGTCTGTCACCTACCACTCCCCATATTTAAAATGTTTTCTGAAGCCAGGTGCTGCTAGTGGTTCACACCCGTAATCCTAGCACCTCAGGAGGCTGAGATCTGAGAATCAAAGTTTAAAGCCAATGCAAGTATAAAGTTGTGAGGCTTTTATCTCTAATTAATTACCCAAAAGCCAGAGGTGCAGCTGGGGTTCAAGTGGTAGACCACCAGCCTTGAGTAAAACCCTCAGGGACAACACCCAGGAACTCTCTCTCTCTCTCTCTCTCTCTCTCTCTCTCTCTCTCTCCCTCTCTCTCTCTCTCTCTCTCTCTCTCACACACACACACACACACACACACACATATGCATAGATTAGTCAGACTCACTTCTTTCCATCTCCCTTCTCTCTTCCATTCCCAAACCAACGTCAGCAAGCTTCATTTGTCCATTTTCACACAAGTACATGAAGTATTTTGACCATGTTCACTGTTTCCCTTTCTACATTCATCCCCCCACCTTCCCACAAGTACTCACTGCCACACATAGTTCCTGTGTTAGTACAATAACCAGCAAAAAAACAAAAGTGAAGATTTTATGTTACCAATCGACATAGCAATATTTTCACTGAACTTATCACAGGAGTCGTTCCTGTTGTTCATTTTTAGATGTATGTTTATTGGCCAGAAGGATTTGACTTTGGTATTTTACACAAACTGGGTTGAACTCTTGCTTTACTCTCACCTTGCCGGTCCTTGCTGCCCCCTATTTTTCAACAACCCTCTGTTAGTTTCATTATTCCACCTTCATTCACAGATGGAATATATTTCAATAGATTTCAGTATTGTTCACTCTGTAATAGACAGGCCCATGATTAGAAGCATTGTATAGGAATGTGTTTATTTATATGTTTCCATTTTTATCTAGAATCCATACCTGAGAGAAAACATGAGGCTATGTAGATATTTTACAAGAATTCCAAATTACATCAAAAACAAGGTGCAGTAATGGTACATCATCCATCTTCCCAGATGATTACAGTCCCTCACAATTTCTTCTGGCCAAGTTTCTGATCAAATTCAAATAAGCTGTTTCCTTAATATGTAATGATTTTAACATTCTCAGCTAACATTTATTTTTAAGATCAAGAATAAGAAATATCTAACCTGATTTAAACATTAATGTGTACATATATCAAAATATCACATAATATTCTATGAATTTGTGAAGTTTGTATATGAGTTAAAAAATAATAAAATAGCCAAGAGCTGGTAACTCACACATATAATCCTAGCTATTCAGGAAGACAAAAACTGAGGATCATGGTTCAAAGCCAGTCCGGGCAGAGCTGAGACTTTCATCTTCATTTAAACATCAAAAATGTGAAAGTGAAACTATAGCTCCAGTGGTAGAAGCTCTAGCCTTGAGCAAAATAAAACACCACGGAGCCACAGAGACAGTACCTATTCCCTGAGTTCAAACCTTGGGACCATCACAAAAATAAATGTACTTTTATATATTCCCTCCATACACTTCCGCTAATTAATTTTAATGAGAATAAATTCAAAGTTCCAGATTCAGATTCTTTATCTCCAATTGACCAGAAGTGAGGATTATATAATGTATGTGTATAGCTATCTTTAAAGTTAACATGTGAATTATTCACAACCTCTCTGGCCCTGCACACAACTTAAAAAAATATTTGCCTTCTAAGATGCCCTGGAAATTAAGCATGTAAGTATATTTATGTTTATATTAATTTAATGATTGTGCAAGTTGATAACAGGAAAGCAGAGATACTCATTTACTGGATTATCCCAGACATCTAGATGAGCATCTGTAATCAAATATGTTAGTAAATATTACTGGAATATCAAAGGGTAAAGACTTATAACACATTCCTGAGAAATCTTTAACACTATGGAAAGGGTTTGGTTTGGTTTTGTGCTGGTCCTGAAGCTATCAAACCAAGATCCTCAAATCTCAACTTCCTGACACAGGATTACATGCATGAGCCACCAGTGCCTGCCTTGTTTTGTTTTTGTTTGTTTATCACAGAACCACTTTCCCAAAATTATATACAAGTGATAAGTAATCTGCAGGTTATTAGGAGTTTTATGATCAAGTACATTTAGGGGAAATTAAGTTAAATGATTACTGATGTATTCAAGCTTAAACCAGCTGTATGTATTATAAATACATATGCAAACTATGAGGATTTCACAAAAACTTTTAAGCCACAAACCAAACTTTGGGCAACACTAGGTTAGGCTACACACCTGAACTAGAATGGTGTTAGTCATATTTTCATAAATGATGATTTTGCCCCATCATCAGTGGGACATATCACCAAATGGGTTTTAGGAGTGGCAGTGGATCAGATGAATCAGAATTACTGACACACTTTTTTCAGATATCAGTGGTGATAGTGTAGTTTGTGATCCAGGATTTATAACATTTTATACACATATGTGTTGGGTCTTCGTCCGTCCCACGGACGGGGTCCGAGGAAAGGTAAGTGCGGCGCTCGCCCGTTCCCTAGCCTCCCTCAGCCCAGGAGACAATCAGACACAGCGGGGAGCCAAATCCAGCAGGTAGAAAAACTCGTTTATTAACAGAGAGCAGCCCCTTTTAAGGACAACAAGGGTGGGTGGTATGGTAAGGGAGGAAGAGGAACCAATCACTGTCAAGGTCACACCCTATCATTCACCTGAGCCTTCACGGGCTGGTTAGGCACTGATCAGAAGATCAATTGGGGGCTGCCCACTCAACCCCCTCCCAGCGCCATCTTTGCTGCCCATGTGCTCCACACATATGAACACACATACTGTATCCACTGCCACAGAATCCAGTGTTATGTAACATCAAACTAACTATTGATCTTCTAGCATAAACAAAGGGAAAAAAGTACCAGATCAATCTTGGACATCATGAGTTCTTTTTTTGCTTTGTTTTGTTGGTCATGAGGCTTGAACTTGGGGCCTAGGCACTGTCCCTGAGATTTTTTGCTCAAAGCTAACACTCTACCACTTTGCACCACAGCACCACTTCCAGTTTTCAGGTGGTTAATTAGAGATAAGAGACTCAGAAATTCCTGCCCAGGGTAGCTTCACATCTGGATCCTCAAATCTCAGCCTCTTGAGTAGCTAGGATTACAGGTGTGAGCCACTGGCACCTGACTTAAGAGCAACTTTTTTTCCAGTCCTGAGGTTTAAACTCGGGGCCTAGGCTCTGTCATTTTACTCTACCACTTTGAGCCACAGTTCCACTCCCAACATCATGAGTTCTTGAAATATAAGAATGGGTCTTAGAAAACCATTCCACTTGTAGCAATGTGTATTTCTTAATACTATGAAAGAACAACAGTGAGTAGCTTATTAACACATTATAAGTTTCAGACTCAGAAAGAGAAATCTGTTTTAAATGCCAAAATACTGTCACAGCTTTTTTTAAATTAAAACTTTTTGTCTTGAAGCTTGTGGTTGTAGTGGTAGTAAAAATTCATGACACATATTAAGGACAGTAAAACTTAGCTAAAAATGGAGAAATTCTAGTCTATTGGAGAATAATCTCAAATTACATGGAGCTCTACTTTTGTGACCATATTAAGTGTTCAAAGAGTTTTACAGATGGAGTCAGATTCAATTTTTCCATTTCAAATGTATATAAATACTATACTATCTTCCATTTAGAGTTTATAAACTTGAGTTCTGTGAGTTCATGTTTATTTCCATCTTTAAAAGACAATCGGGCTGGGAATGTGGCTTAGTGGTAGAGCGCTTGCCTAACATTCATGAAGCCTTGGGTTCTATTCCTCAGTACCACATACACAGAAAAAGCTGAAAGTACGGTAGAGTGCTAGCCTTGAGCAAAAGAAGATCAGGGACAGTGCATAGGCCCTAAGTTCAAGCCCCAGGATTGGCAAAAAAAAAAAGACAACCAATGTCCTGACAACAATCATTTCCACTATATCAGAAATAT